ATATGTGGGGCGGAGCTATCAAAATAGGGGCAAGACCCTTTTGGGGTAGGGGCGTATTTGTTTTGGTGATTTCAAATATCAACATTGGCTACCAGAAATCGCTTACCCTTCCTTTAATTGTAGTTAAACACATATAAATGACATATAATGATAAAAAATAGGTTACCACTAGCCAAAATTATAAAAAAAAAAAAACATAATAATGTATTAATAATCTCTAAATATTTATTAATCATTTATTAAGTAATCATATTTATTGAAAATAGTTGTTAAAGTTATAGAAAAGTATAAATCATAGCGTTAAAAATGGTAAAATAAAAAACAAAGTATGTTAAAAATAGTAAGATACAAAGTTAAAATAATATGATAAAATAATCATAATAATTAAAAAATAGTGTAAAAAATAATCATAGTACCTTAAAATTTGTTCAATAAAATAGTATTATACAATAATGATCATAAGTTAAAAATAGTACAATAAAATAGTATAAATAATACTCATGATAAAAAAAATAGTATGTAGTAGTGGTGCCTGGATGGTATACTATTGGCATAAGATTTTGAAATATGCATCTGTGCATGCTTTTAGAGCTAATATTACCTATAACAAACATTGAGGAAGTCTATAATATCTGGAGACAGCTGTACGTCAATGTTCCCATTCAACTCAATGGCAGTTGCACAGCTGACACATGTTTGTTAGAAGGTCTCCAAGTGTTATATATGTGTATTCCACCCCGCAGATAAGATAAAAGTGCCTGCCCATGAATACAGTTATATCGCATGTACAGATATTGCATAAATTACTGATCCAGAAATGGTTTGGTCAGACAGGTTTCTGTGTCTACCAAAGGACATTATCTTTAAACAGCATGATAGTGGTTATGATAACTCACTTATCTTTAATTCACTTATCTTTATATGTCGAAATTGTGGCTAAGAAAACAGCTAGAAACATTCATATCTGCAGCTGTAAGAATAAAAAGAAAGGTTGTGTATGTTGGCATGAATGATAAAGATACAAACAGAGATAAGGAGCAGTGTACCTGTACCATGTGTGTACTTGCATATTGCTTTGGCAATATTTCAAAGCTTTTATAGTCAAGCCAATAAGGCTTGTTATGAGAGACAAGAAAGAAAGGCAATAAAAAAAGTGTTAACTGCACAAGATTTTTTTTTCAGACCGAATCAGTCTATGTTTTTAGTAATGAATGAGAAGGGCTGTGTAGAGAGATGATTTTAAAGCTGAACTGACTCTGCCAGTTGTTTTACCCTTTTTCTGGTTATGATACTCCAGTTAGGCTGGGATTCCCCCTACTGAGAGAGTAATGGGACATCAGCTATACTCATTATGGTCAAACACACAATAACACACACAAGATGCATTGGAGTCCACATGATGTCCTGTCCTTGTCTGCCCCACTGACAACATACTCCAAAAAACACGAGCACAGGAGCATATTTGACTTTTTCTTCAGTCCACTTATGATGTTAGTTAAGGTTTCTTGCACAAACAGCAATCATAATTTAGCCCTACATGACCATTTCCACACTCTCTTGGCCTTTAGAACTGTTTGCTACACTGTAAATTTAACTTTAAGAATCTACTATAACCATAAAGGGGTCATATGACGTTGCTAAAAAGAACATTATGTTGTGTATTTGGTGTAATGTAATGTGTTTATGCGGTTTAAGGTTCAAAAAACATTATTTTCCACATACTGTACATTATTGTTGCTCCTCTATGCCCCACGTTTCTTTTAAGCGCGTCGATTTTTACAAAGCTCATCGTTCTGAAAAGCGAGGTGTACGCTGATTGGCCAGCTATCCACTGCGTTGTGATTGGCTGAATACCTCAAGCGTGTGACAGAAATGTTACGCCCCTACCATACTGTGATA